AAATCTTTAAGTACTAGCTAAAGCCAACTATAATATACAAAATTTAATACATCTTATTTCTTAATACTGTTTTTCTAGTTTTAAGTTGGAGTATGGAGATATCGAATTTGTCTAACCTGAAAAAAAAATTATTTAGAAAAGACGTTCACCAATTGATCAGTCGAAGAAACATGCTTTGTTTGAACATCAATCAATCTTGTATATCGTCTTCGTGTAATGTCAATCAAATTTTCACATGTTTTGTTAGACACAAGATTAGCGACAATATGAAGCACATGTTGACTATCATAATAATAATAATCAATGGCACCAACATGTGCAATATCCATAGATGCTAAGTTGCTCTTTATCCACTTCGGTTCTTTCATTGAAAAAACCATAGTTTGATACTATGTTTTTGGGGAAGAACAAGACATTATATCTTACTTCTTTAATTTTCGGCCCTGAACCCAAGCAAGATAAGCTGTCCTTGTAAATATACATAATTTTTGGTCGTTATTTTTCGTAAAATTAGTGGTTAAACCCTTCACCGTTCGAGTCTAGTGCGTGCCATTTTTCGTTTTTTTTTTAATATTCATTATCTAGTAGTTCGATTTTTTTTTGGTTTGTGATCTTTATAACTTCAAGGTCGGTTCTGTTGACTTTTATGTCATAGGAGAATTATCCAACTATATCAAATACCCATTCAAAGATTTTCTCGTTATAACACACTAGTCCAATTTGAATCATACCAAAATGCAAGATGGAAATTACGGTTAGCTTTCGAAAGAATTTATAGTTTTGGATATTTTATCAAGTAACGAACAACTCTCATTGCAAACATCTAATCACTACAAAAATAGAATGATTATAACGAAAATTTGATACAATAAACATTTGTCACAAATAGTATCGATATGATTGTGGAACCACGAATAGCTCTACTTACACCACACCACACCACATTAGAGATTTTCGGTAAGATATTTTTGTTAATTTCTTTCTCTTAAAATCAAATTTGATATCTCTTCATGTAGAAAAATTAATCAAGTTCGAGTATTGGGATTAAAAAGACTTGCTTGAGTTTTCAAAATCTCATTTGCGAAGAATTATTTATAGAGATCCGCTAAAAGAAGGTGAAAATGGTGTTTAATAAATAAATATATCCCTTGGGAAGAAATTGGGCTAATAAATAAACCCAACGTTGTATAGTTTGACTATTTGATTTGATTTGGTATAAGTTTAACCCAAAAAAGGGAAAAGAAATTAGTTTGGGAAATCAAGGAATCATCGTCTCTGTAAATTAAATTGGATCTGAGATCTCTCTTGCCCTCCGTCTCCATGGATCCTTGTTCGTCTCGCTTCCCATCGATCCTTTTCCTCCTCTTCCTCTCCACCTCCGTAGCCTTCTCTGAGATCCGCAAGTCGGAGATCCGATCCGATGACCGGCCTATCATCCCCTTGGACGAATTCGGCTTCACTCACTCGGGCCGCCTGGAGCTGGACGCGTCCAAGATCTCTTTCTCGTCGGACAACAACAATCTGGACAACCTGGATCTGTCCAAGGTGGGCTTCTTCCTGTGCACCAGAGACGCTTGGGTTCACGTGATCCAGCAGCTGGAGGAGGAGGAGATCTCCTGCGCTCTCCAGTCGGATCTGGTGAAGCACGTCTTCACCTTCAACCATCTCAACAAGAAGGAGGCCAGCTTCTCCACCGTCTTCACCGAGAACGACGCCGATCAGTACTCTCTCGTCTTCGCCAATTGTCTCCAGCAGGTCAAAGTCTCCATGGACGTCCGATCCGCCATGTTCAACCTCGAAGGTAAGAAGGGCGGCCGCGACTACCTCTCCGCCGGCAGAACCGTCCTCCCCAAGGTCTATTTCCTCTTCTCCGTCATCTATTTCTCCCTCGCCGCCACTTGGATCTACCTTCTCTACAGGAAACGCCTCACCGTCTTCGCCATCCACTTCTTCATGCTCGGCGTCGTCATCCTCAAAGCTCTCAACCTTCTCTGCGAGGCCGAGGACAAATCCTACATCAAGAAAACCGGAAACGCCCACGGCTGGGATGTCTTGTTCTACATCTTCAACTTCCTCAAGGGTATCACTCTCTTCACCTTGATCGTCTTGATCGGAACCGGATGGTCCTTCTTGAAGCCTTACTTGCAGGACAAGGAGAAGAAGGTCCTCATGATTGTCATTCCCCTCCAGGTCGTCGCCAATTTTGCTCAGGTCGTCATCGATGAGACTGGCCCATATGGCCAAGACTGGGTCACATGGAAACAGATCTTCTTGCTTGTTGATGTCGTCTGTTGCTGCGCTGTTCTCTTCCCCATTGTCTGGTCCATCAAGAACTTGCGCGAGGCCGCCAAGACCGATGGCAAGGCTGCCGTGAACCTCGTTAAGTTAACACTCTTCAGGCACTACTACATCGTGGTTATCTGCTACATCTACTTCACCCGTGTTGTCGTGTATGCTCTCGAGACCATTACCTCTTACAAGTATATGTGGACTAGTGTTGTTGCCAGCGAGTTGGCCACACTTGCATTCTATGTCTTTACTGGCTACAAGTTCAGGCCAGAGGTGCATAACCCATACTTTGTTGTCGACGATGAGGAAGAAGAGGCTGCGGCCGAGGCCCTCAAGCTTGAAGACGAGTTTGAGTTGTAAGTCAGGAAGATTCCCATCTGGTAAACCGTCTTGTTCTTTTTCTTCTTTTCTTAGAATGCAATACCTGTTTTTGTTTGCTTGTCTTGGCTATAGCACACTTATATAGACTCTGATGAAGGTCTTATCCATTGCATAGAATTGTGGATTTCTGGTAACCTTCCTTGGTGCTTTTATACTTATACTTGATAAGTCTCTGCTTTGCATTTGATAGACAAATTTGCTGATTAGAAAAAGTTGCAGATTGAAAGTAGGCAAACTTTGTGTACACCTATATGCCTTGTTGCTGCCAGAAAATTGGTATAATGTATTATGCTTGTGTTGGTTTGAGGTGAAAGAGATTGCATTGCCTTGATGGTTGTTGGTGGACCATAGATTGATTGGTCACATAAACATTAAAGTTTTGGGAAAGACGCTCTCTGCTACACTCTTGTTCTCAAATGGCTTCAAGTTTTGATGATCATGGAATGTCATCATCATCATCATATTTAGAATAACCAACTAAGCTTTCATTATTTTAATATCTATGCTTTAAACAAGGCCAGAGACCAAAAGAGGAAACAAGGATGAAAAAGAGGAAAAACCAAGAGAGATGATGAGTTTTCTAATATGGACCTCCGACCAAAAACCAACACAAACTAATTAAATTAAATTATCACGTCATCATCCGATGGAGATCTAGTGGGAAGCTTTTACAGCCGAAGCATGATGATGCA